CGCTGGCCGGACTGGCCATCGACGCTGTCGAAGACGCTGCAGCTGGGGAGGCGGGAGACCCTCCTGGCATCCTGTCCGCTAGCCCTGGGCCGGCATGCTGCCTGGCCTCGGGTGAGCGTGAGCGCTCCTCTCTCCCTCCTTCTTTCTTGGTCGCCGCCTCTGCTGCGGGTCGAAGCTGCAGCCTGGTCTGCTGCCTGCCCGCCTGCTTGTCCCGCTCGGCCTCCGCCGATGCCCGCTCCTGCTCGCGGGCCAGCTTGTCTGCGGCTGCCTTAGCGGCCCTCTCCTTGGTGGCCGCGATAGCACTGCCACCTGCATGTGCCACGGGGACTGCTGCTGCGGCCTGCAACTGCTGGGCTGAGGCTGCGGCTGAGGGTGCCTGTGCGGCGGCGGCCAGGAGGTTCGAGTTGATCTGCATCATCTGCTCCATCAGCTGCGCCATGCCTTTCTCGAGTGAGGCCACGCGCTGCTGCGTCTGTGCGACCTCCGCCACTTCTTGCCTCGGCCGCGGCGTGGATGGCATGTCCTCGTCATTGCCATCTCCGTACTGGTCACGTGCTTGGCGTGGCTCACTTTCTTCGTCGAGGCAGGACGAGAGCTCCTCGGCCTCCACATCCCCTGATGCTGGTGGGCTCTGCCATGCACTGCGCCTGCCCTGCGCCCGCGGCTGCGGCGGCGGCGCAGGGTACGAGCAGAAGTCTGCCATGTTCAACATCTGCTCCAGGAAGACCTGAGCGTGCTCAAGGTCCTGCTTCGCCTGCTTGGTGTCGGCCTCCGCGGCAGCCAGCTTGAGCTGCGCGGCCAGCTCTGCGTCCTTGGCGCCCTCTAGCGCCCTGCGCGCCTTCTTCGCGAAGGCCTCCTGCTTGTCGGCCCTCGTCGCCGGGTCCCTGGACAGGATCACCTGGCAGTGGATGGCGGCATACTCCTGCTCCGCCTTGCGCAGCCTCGTGGGGTCTGGGGCCACCAGCCCGCGGATGGCACGCACCCTGCCCTCGGCTGCCGTGAGCGCCTTCCTGAGCGACTCGCGGTACTGCTTCAGGCCCGCGGCCTGCTGCGGGGGCGGTACCCATGCGCTGTGGAGCTTGGCCTGCTCCGGCAGCATGGGGAGGATGCCGAGCGGCTCCTTGTCATTGGCCGCCGCGGTCTGCTCCTGCGAGGGCTGGCCTCCCTTGGGCTTCGCCTCTCGTTGGCCTCCTCTGCTGGCCCCACGCTCGCGGCGGCGCTGCTGCCATGGCGCCTCCTGCTGCCTCTCTCCTCCGCACTGGCGGCAGGACTTCCTCGTGGCGAAGTTGGAGGTGTGGCACTCCCCGCAGCTCCACGGCGGGGCCGTAGCATCGCCACCGTGCTGCCCCCGTTGGCTGCCTCCACCTCCGCTGGCCGCGCGGCGCCCGCCCTGCGGCGCCATCGTGCTGTGATGTTGCTTCAGCAGGCGGGCAGCTGCGCCCAGCCTGAGCAGCACTCTCGCCGCCGCGCGCTGCCGGCGCGCGCGGCGATGCCAGGCGGGGTCGCCCTTCGTGATTGCTAGGGCAACTCCCTTGGTCGCGCGAGCTCTCGAGATTCGCAGACCTGATCTGCACCCAAAATCTCGGCCTGAGCCCAAACACGACTTGGAGGGAGGAGGGAGGAGGGAGGAGGGAGGAGGGAGGAGGAGGAGGAGGAGGGGGAGGGGGAGAGGGAGGAGGAGGAGGAGGAGGAGGAGGAGGAGGAGGAGGAGGAGGAGGAGGAGGAGGAGCGCAGCGCCTCTCGCGCGTCTCCCGCCGGCCGGGCTGGTGCGCTCCCGACGGACTACGCCGAGGCGCCCTCACGCCACGATGGCGGAGAGGGCAAGGTGGAAGAAAGTGTGGGGGAAGGACGAGTCAAGGAAGATCCCGTCCAGCATGAAGTAGGAGAGCAACACGGAGCCGCAGGCGAAGCCAGTGACGGGGAGGGCGTAGACGTCCTCCGTCGTGTGACCCACAACCCAGACAAGTCACTCACCCAGGCAACGAGCATGAGGGAAACAACAACAAGTCAGACACGTGTGAAATGTTGTCATTCGTCGAGCGGATGGAAGGTCATGTCGACACCTCCCTCCAGCGGGAGGTCCCAGGCAACGAGCGCCCCGAAGACCTCCTCGTGGCTGCACGTCCCGACCATGTAGTCGACCTTGTGCACGGTACCGAGCAAGCCGACAGAGATTTGGTGAAGACGAGGGCGGTCACGGCGTCGCTTACCTGGCACTTCTGACTTTAGATCACCGCTGACTTGGGCCCTCATGTCTTCGCGGAGTACCCGGCACGCGCCGTCTTTGCGGTCAGACGCGCCGTGGGCTGTCTGGACCGTCTTCGATTCGTCGATTTGCCGCGGGCTGTCAGCGGCTCCAGGGGTTGACCCAGAAACACCAGTCAACGAACCAGCAGCGGTAGCTCCTGAGGCCAGCTCGCGGCGTGCAGCCTCATATAGAAACCAGCCCTCAAATATGTTCCGAACAACTGGGCTACTTACCACCGCCTGAATGGCGCCGCGAGCTTCATCATGGGTTCGGTTCACGGCCATCACCCCGCTAGCTTCGCCATGGGCTGTGCTAGCTGGGTGCGGTTTGTCATCTTGCCTTGGACTCTCAGCACTGGCATCGCCTCGACCAGTGAGACTGCACAAACTGTCGTGGACCTCGTCGACCTCCACACGACGAGCCTCGGAGTTCACGTCAGCCCTCACTCCAATCGGAGGCCAGGTGCTCCCAGCAGCAGCGCCGCCCCACCCCTGCCCCGTGACCCGAGCACCGACGGGAGCACAGGCAGGCGGCCGCGCGGCAGGCCTGATCGGCAAGACCGCCGATTCAGGAGTGGCACTCGGAGTGGGCACACCCTTGAAGTCGATCGGTATGGCATCCGAAACGGGCCCCAGCTTGGCGGGCACGTCATGGACGCCCGCCCTTTCATCCTTCGGTGGCCCAGACTCCACGGGACCATTTTGAGCGAACTGTTTCGGAACGTATTGGTCCTGCTCGCCAGTCGTGGGCCCGAATACGCCAGTGAACAAACCTGCGGCCCTGGTCCCCGTACCAGCTTGCGCATCTTGGATGCTTCCGCCCTGTCCTGGTAAACCTCCCACGCGTCGATCGGGAGGACAAAAAACTGGCTGTATCACTGGATAATTGTCGCTGGCCTTCGGCTGGGCATTTCTTCGCCCCTCCTCCGACTTTGGACACCCGGGCAATAACAGGAGGAATGACAGAGCCGCCGTCGTCATGCCCACCATCCCTGCCAGCATTATCCGTAGGATATTTTTTTTTTTGGGGGGGGGGCGGAGGCTTGGGGAGGGGCTGCGTCTCCGCCCCTATGATGCCTTCGGTGTTAGTGTCATGGACGCGCACACCTTCTCCCAAACCCACGCCAGCATAACGTGATGAGGAGCCAACAGAAAAGGGCACGTCACTTGCAGCCTTATCGCAGGGGACGGAGGATCGATGCTCACGGAACGTCGATGCACCGTCGTCCACGTGTTCGACCTCTTCCTCGTCCTTGGGCCCAGGCGCCCCTTTGACACGCCGCCGACGAAGAGGCGTGGCCCCTAGAGCAACCGACTGGGCAGGAGATGCGGTATCTTGAGCGTCAGCTCTTAGACCTATTCGCGCCTGCTTGAGGTAGCTGCTGCGCGCCGCCACGGAGGTCTCTCCACGTTGGAGGAAAGGTGCACCTGGTGGTAGCAGGTCTGGTAGGAGATCGGCTACTGGAGGAGGAATCGCTTCACGCGGAGGATCCGCACCTGCGCGTCGAAGATGCGCCCGAGCTGCTGAGAGGTGCAGGCCCCCGTGGTCAGCTCGCGCACCAGCTGAAAGACCCACGACTGGTGGAGGAAGGCCCATTCGCGGAAGATCCACCGCTCGTGGTCGATCAGCGTCACGCGGATGCTGATCGCGAGGGGGAAGAGCTCCATGTTCCCGGTTGGCCTCCAGCACCTGGCGCAGGGCGCGGGCCAGGCGGGAGAGTTCTTGGCCCCTATGCGCCTGCACCTCCGCGAAGGCTCGCAGGAGGTATTGGGTGGCCCGCCCCTGCGCCCGCACCGCCTGGGCGCGGCGTGCGGCGGCAGGCCGGTTTGGGCGGCGGGCGCCACCTTCCCGGGTCGGCAGCCCCTCCATCCCGCGGGCGGCGAGGGGAGAAGAGGGAGCCGGAGAAAGCGGGGAGGGGAGGGCGCGGGCGGGGCACGGGGACCCCTAGCGCGTGCTCGCACGGCCCCGAAAGGCTTTGGGCCGAGTTGGCGCTGGAGGAAGAGGAGGAGGAGAAGGAGGAGGAGGAGGAGGAGGAGGAGGAGGAAGAAGAGGAGGAGGAGGAAAAGAGGAGAAGAGGAGAAGAGGAGAAGAAGAGAAGAGGAGAAAAGGAGAAAAGGAGAAGAGGAGAAGAGGAGAGGAGAGGAGAGGAGAGGAGAGGAGAGGAGAGGAGAGGAGCGGAGAGGAGCGGAGCGGAGAGGAGAGGAGAGGAGAGGACGAGGCGGAGCACAGGAAGGGAGGAGGGGTGACCCCGAGACGGCGGGGCTCGGGCGGGAGAGGCGGCAGTCTGTGGGCGGCCCGACTTCCCACGGCGGGGCGCTGAGGCCCCAGCGCGTGTGTTTGCCCAAGGTTTGCGGGCAAATGCTGGGCGCCTGCAGTGCTGCGCGGGAAGAGCACGGGCACTCTCCCAGACCCCCTTCGAGCCATGAAGAAATCATGACGGGAGGTTTCTCGCCATGTTCGGCCTCCGGGGGCCTTCGCCGGGCCTCGGGACCGACAAAACTCGGGATGCGAAGCCGCTCCCGGGGAACGGGTCCAGACCGTCAGGGAGTCGACGTCATGAACAGAATCATGACGTCGGGGGTCTGGGCTGGGAGGGGGAGGCGGAGGGCTGTGCCACACAGGTCCCCAGCCCCCAGTGTCAGTGTTCACTCGCTATGTTTTTTCTTTCTCTCCTCTGTCTCTCTCTCTCTCTCTGTCTCTATCCCTTCTTCGTGGTCTCCACGGAGGATGTCCGTCCCCTTGCTTCCCCGAGGACCTGCCCGATTGGGAGGGTGGCACCGACCGGATTCTGGTGGAGAGCGAGCAGCGCGATACCACCTTGGAGCACATCGCCATCTGCTGGCAGGCTGGCCACGGAGGAGCAGGAGGGGGGAAGAGTGTTGGGGAGAGGAGGGGAAGGCGCAGAGGGAGGGGGAAAGCGGAAGGGGAGGAAAAGAAGGAGGAAGAGGAGGAGGAGGAGGAGGAGGGAGAGGAGGAGGAGGGGCAGGAGGAGGAGGAGGAGGAGGAGGAGGAGGAGGAGGAGGAGGAGAGAGGAGAGGGAGGGGCACGAGGAGGAAGATGAGCACGACGACGACAACGACGATGAAGGTGTAAGGGAGGGTGGAGGAGCTATGAAGAATGAGGAGGAGGAGGAGGAGGAGGAGGAGGAGGAGAAAGGAGGAGAAAGGAGGAGGAGGAGGAGGAGATGGAGGAGGAGCTGGACGAGGACGACGACGACGAGTTGCAGCAGTGGCTGTAGTGGTCGGAGGAGGAGGAGGAGGAGGAGGAGGAGGAGGAGGAACAGGGAGGAGGAGGAAAAGGGAGGAGGACAAGGGAGGAGGAGTGGGACGGGTTTGCGCTCCTGGTGGGAGCAGCCCTGTGCATCCGTCGCGCTGCCTCGGGTCTGCCACGGGCGCGAGCTCTCCCAAGCCTTCCCGGCGAGCCCTGGCCGTGCATCTCCGCGCCTGCGCGGGCTGCCTGCGCCACGCCCACGCCCGGCGAGCGCCTGGCCGGGCGCTCTCGCGCACCGCGGGCCGCGAGGAGGGCCCGGGCACGCGCAGAGGGCGGTTAGGACCCAGCAGGGCTGGACATAAACTGTGTTTTTGGTGATGTCATGGGCCGTTTTCGTGTCGACTTCGTTTTGCGGTAACGGCGGATTCGAGACAAAAGCGAAGGAAAACCAAAACAAAACGAAAACGAAAAACACCGTTTAGGTTCAGCCCCGGGACCCAGACGCGCTCGCGTCCTGGAAGCGTCAGGACGGGAATCTGCTTGGCCGCTGTGGGCTGCTGGGGGCCTTCGCCGGGGCCCCGGTACCGTCCGAAAACGAAAACGACTCGGGAGGAAAAGCCGGCTGGGACTTCTGGGGACACCGTACTGAAAAATTCCGGGCATCGCATGTCTCGGAACCACGGGCGGCCACGCGCAGAAGGGGGTTGGTTGGGGGATGGGGGAGGGCTTCTTAGAAGCGCCCCTGTTTCTTAGAGGGCGCGGGCCTTAGCTGTAGATGCAGGGTCAGCGCCTTCTAAGAAACGGCCTCTGTGGCGTCGCGTACTGGGTGGGTGGGCGACACCTGAAGGGGGGCAGCGAGGGCTGCAGAAAAGGGGCCCTTTTGAGGCCCCTGAAGGGGCCCTTCTGGACCGAAGAGGGGGCCTTCAGGGCCCGAGAAGTGCACCTTTCTCCCCCCATTTAGTTACGGTGGGGGCGGTCGTTAAGGAGCGTGCCCAGGAGGCTTCAGACCCTGGAGAGTTCCTTATCCGATGAGGGCAGCGGTGATATACATCGCCAAGCCTCGGTTGAAGTTCCACCTGCCTCCAGCCCCTGGATTCCTTATCCAATGGTTCCTTATCCGATGCCCTCGCCGTATCGCCCCCCCACTGAGCGATGCCCCGGTCTCCTTCTACGAAGCCTTCCCCCCCCCCGTCCCCCCCCCCGTGCGGGCGCCGCCAATGGGCCGCTCGAGCTCAGGCGGCTGTCTGGCATTTCGCAGGCTCCTCTTCTCCACCTCTCCCCCTCCTCCTCTCCTCTCCTCCCTCCTCCTCATCCTCCTCATCCTCCTCTTCCTCCTCTTCCTCCTCCTCCTCTTCCTCCCTCCTCCTCCTCCTCCTCCTCCTCCTCCTCCTCCTCCTTTTCCTCCTCATCTGGCTCAAGCGGTCGCACGGCCTTGCTCGTCCGCGCCCCCCCGCGCGCGATGGCGGGGCCTAGAGGAGTCCTCCCAGCGTTCGACGGCGCGGCCCTGGTGGCCGCCGCAGTGCGCGCCGCGGTAGAGGGGAAGGCGCCACGGCGGACCATCGCGGCCGTCGCTCGCGCAGCAGTGGCGGCGGCGGCTTCGGCTGTGGTTGCCAGGCTGGGACCGCGCAGCTTGGTAGGCCTGCGGCTGCCTCTCGCGCTTGTGCTTCTGCGGAGGCGCAGCGGGAGCGACGCCGTCGGCGTCGCCAGAGGCTGGCTGAGCGAAGGACGCTGGAACGTGGTGAGGCTGCTGCTGCTGCTGAGGAGGTGGCGAAGGTCGAGGCGGTCGCGCCCATGGCGCTGGACGGCCCCGCGCCCGCGGCCACCGAGAACGCCGCGGACCTCGACGACGATTCGTGGGCTGATGCTGCTACGCCGTCTCGGCGTCGGCGGCGTCGTGCTCCCGAGCATGCTGCACTGGCACCTGCGGCGGCTGGAGCAGATGGTGCGGGTCTCGCCCTGCCGTCTGCGGAGGCCGCTATGGTGGAGGCCCTGGTGGTGGACGAGTGCGCGGCCGTGCTCGCACAGGTCCTCGAGCTGGCGACCCGACCCGACAATGAGTCCTTCTTCGCTGGCCAGCCGGTGGACGTCTTGAAGGAAGTTCTCACGGTGTTGCGCAAGTCGTGAGGCTTGCCTGGCCCACTTGGGCCCCACTGCCGCTCTGTGGTTGGGCCTCTGCTTGCATGCCCCAGGTGCGCAGTGGGTGATCCCTTGTGTGGCCCTTCCCCGCCTGTTGGCACCACGTGTGAGCCTCTCACGGAAGCTCGGTTGGTGTGCAGACAGGCGGGGCCCTCCGTGTTCAGCTTCGTGGACACGGACTTCATACTATGTAGGCGCCCTCGGTGCGAGGGGCGACGCCTGCTTTTTTCCCCGAACTGGACCCCCGGCTCCCGCCCCCGCGGTTGCTGGGGGCGCTGCGGTCCCCGCTCCTCCTCTACCTCCTCTTCCTCCCTCCTCCCTCCTCCTCCTCGGGGCGCCCTGGCCGCCCCCGTCGGGAGGGGGTAGGAGAGGCGGCACCACTAGCACCACCATCAGGGGGGGAGGCAAGCCCCAAGCGGGGAGGTCCACGATGCCTCCCCGAGAGCGTGAGAGAGAGAGCGAAAGAGCGAGAGAGAGAGAGAGAGAGAGAGCGAGAGGGAGGGGTCTCCTCCTCCTCCTCCTCCTCCTCCTTCCTCCTCCTCCCTCCCCTCCTTCCTCCTCATCCTCATCCTCCTCCTCCTCCTCCTTTTTTTTCTCCTCCTCATCCTCCTCCTCCTCCTCCTCTCTTCCTTCCCTCCTCTCTCCGCCTCCCTCCTCCTCCTCCCTCTCCTCCTCCTCCTCCTCCTCCTCCTCCTCCTCCTCCTCCTCCTCCCCCTCCTCCTCTTCCTCTTCCTCCCCGCCCGTCCCCCTGCCTCCTCCCGCTGGTGATCCCCGGTGGATGTGGTGGTGGCGTCGCTGTTCCGCTGCTCCTTGCTCACAGCCCTGCACGCATCCGCGCACGCGCGGGCTGCTGCGTCGGGGCCGTCGGGCTGCCTGCCCGCGCGCTCACTGGACGCGAGGCCGAGCACATGTTCCGATACTACGAGGCGCGCCGGGCCGTCTCTCCCTCGTCCGTCGCCGTCCCTCAGTCGTCCCCCCTCGTCTCTCGGTCCTTCCATGCTCCGAGTCCTCCTGTCTCCTCGCTATTCCTCTACCTCCTCCTCCTCCTCCTCCTCCTCCTCCTCCTCCTCCTCCTCCTCCTCCTCCTGTGCCTACCTCGTCCTCCCTCCTCGCCTTCCTCCTCCTTTCCCTCATCCTCGCCATACCTGTATCTCCCTTCTTATTTTTTTTTTTTTCTCTCTCTCTCTCTCTCTCTCTCTCTCTATCTGTCTCTCTCCTTCCTCGTGTTTCTGCTTACCGTAGAGGCAAAGCGGACGCTCGTGCTCGAAGAGGCAGCGCAGACGCTCGTGAGAGTGCCAGTGGTGTTTTCGCATGCATCCGCTGCCCTTCATGTCATAGCAGAGCTCAAGATATCCTCCGAGCCGCGTGCGCAAGCGAACTGCTGGGTGGGAAGGGATGTTTTGGCACGGGCTGGAGGGACGCTGGGAGCCGCCTGGTGAAGAGGTTCCCCTTCGCCTCCTCCCAGCCTCCTCCTCCTGCTCCTCCTCCTCCTCCTCCTCCTCCTCCTCCTCCTCCTCCTCCTCCTCCCCCTCCTCCTCCTTCTCCTCGATCTTGGTCGACACGCCTCCCCCTGTGCTCCTCCTCTCTCCTACTCCTCCCCCCTCCTATGATTCTTCCGCTTCCTCCTCCTTTTCCTCCCCCCTTCCTCCCCCTCCCCCTCCCCATCTTCTTCTTCTTCTTCCTCCTCCTCCTCCTCCTCCTCCTGCGAGCCGCGTGGCGAGCGCGCCAGGTGAAGAAGTTCCCCCTCGCGAGGATGGATTTCGAAAAGCACAGGACCACGCCTGTCGGCGACAGCACCGTGGCGAAGCAGAGGCACAACGACAGAGCGCAGGTGCAGGAGGAGTAGCGAGAGGAGGAGGAAGAGGAGGAGGAGGAGGAGGAGCAGGAGCAGGAGCAGGAAGGAGCAGGAAGGAGCAGGAGGAGGAGGAGGAGGAGGAGGGGTTCCGTCAGGTCCAACGATGAGGGGGGGAGGCTCAGGGGGATGCGCCGACCCGCAATCGCCCATTGGTCGCGGATAGAGACCCGATAATCCACATCGCCCAGGGACGCGCAGATTCGCTATGGGAGCTGTCGCCGATCTATCGGCGATGTGTCTCCGATTTCCCCTCCCTTAGCCAGTCGGAAGAGGCTTCAACCGGGAACCCCACCAGAAACCCGAAAACGGGCAGGGCTAAACCCGAAAACCCGACAGGGGCGAAACCCGAAAACGCCGGAGGCCCAAACCCGAAATTCCAGGAGAGGCGAGATCCGATAAGCTGGGAGGGGGCCGACCCAGAAAAGTTGAGGGGATCTCGAAGGAGGCAGGGCGAGGTAGTAGGCGGCAGGAGGAGGTCAGAGGAGTGGGAGGGGGCAGGATATGCTAGCAGGGACGAGGAGGCAGGACGAGCCAGGGTGCAGCTGGGCGAG